TTTTTTTTTTTTTTTTTTTTTTTTTTTTTTTTTTTTTTTTTTTGTAGTGGAGGATCTGTTTAGGATCTGCTAAATATACCCCTTGCTAATGGACATTGATCACGTTTACCAGAAAAATGTAAGTCATTAACTGTTTTTTGCCCATATGTCGCTGACAAAGCAGGTAGGGCTTGCTTCTGAACTTCCCTAGAAGAGCCAGGATCCAGGCCATGTAAGGAGCCCTCGCAGAAGCCACAATTCCACAGAATTGCTTTCCCATTTTGTTGACACCCAATTTTATCTTTCCCTCTGGCTGCTTTAATGCCCCCTATTATTAAATGTTCCTTTTCAGGAACACTGAATACTGACTTGGCTTCCTTTTCCCAAAACCCTGTAGAGTCCTCCCATTGCCTCTAGCATCATACTTGGCCCTCTACACTAATGTACATCCATTGTCAGCTCTTAACAAAGATTGCCTTAAACTACAAAAGAGAGCCTAAAATAAAGGCTGTATATCCTGCAGCAGGAAAAGAAAGATTACAATCTCTATGCCAATTGCCTCAGATTCCTTTCTACTCCAAGGACTCATATTTCACTGGGTTTTTTTGCACCCATAGCCTGGTATCGCTAATCTGTAATCCATATGAAATAGTGTCGGGTACGTCTCAGATGACATTGGGTGCACAGATGTGTGCAGCACGCACCCATCAGATTTTGCAGCTTAGGCAAGACCGAAATTCCTCTCTGTCTTCTTCATCAGCTCCTCCCCTGACATCAGGGGAACTAGTCCCTCCACACCCACCAAAACTACTTCACTATTTGTTTTGGTTTCCCTTTTGTTTTGTTTTGCTTGGCTAGCAGAAATTCCTGTAAATGTTAAGACATAGAACAAAACACTCGGGCTGAGGTAGACATGACCCATTTTAGCACCATGGGCAGGAGCAGGCCCTCGCCACCATCCCTCCCAGCCTCGGCCATTTGCAGGCCTGGTCACCAGCTGGTTGTCACCTGGCACCAGATCCTCCACTGCACACACGGCAACGCCCCAGCTTTGCCAAGTTTAGAGGGGCTGCAACAGACTTTTATTACTAGACAGAGGGTTCATTTGAAAAACCCTTCCCTGGAATATAGCCCATGACGAGCTTGCACAGTAACAGTGAAGGGCAATATGTTGAAAGGAAAAAAACATGACATGAGATTTGCTTCCCTCTCCTCCTCACCCTCCCATTTTCCTAATTCTTTCCTAAGTCTTCTCTTTCTTCCCTGACTCACAGGAGAAGTCCCAGCACACAAGGCAGGGAGTGATGGTGGCAACAGCAACTTGGAGTGACTCAGACTACAGAAAAGACTGTGACTAAAAGGAATGTAAGGCCAAACCCAGAAACAACTAAGTAGCAATGAAGAGTAAAAACGACCAGAAATGAACACATACAGGTCCAACCATCATGTGCTACACAAGGGAATAGCCAGAAAACAACATCCAGCACTATGCAAGGATGCAGGTCACATGAGGAAGCTGGGCTCAGTCACAACAGGTCTACCAATTGGCTCAACCAGGGTTAGAAACTTTGCTTTTCACATTGTCATGTCAGCAAGCAGCACAGGAAAACAACGCTCCACTTGTCTCTCACCACCTCCTGCTTATTATCATTCCTTCTAGGTCTTTTATAGGTTATCAGTCTCACATCGTGCCATCATTAAATTTTCAAGAAAAGTCTTTGTCTTCTCCTCTGTTGCACTTGAAACATCTACAAAGGCTCCCTGCTGCTCTCCTCTGCCTCTTTCCCTAAAAATTACATTTGAGTAGAGGGCCACAAAAATTTGGAAAAGAATAGTGAGAACAGAGACCCCCATCCATCACACTAGATGGTGTTATCTTACACATATCCCACTTCTGTTTGTATCTCTTCATCACCTCATCCTATTCATCACAACAGGGATAAGACTCCTTTTTTTGCTGTATATCCTGATCCGACATGAAAGACTAAAACCAGAAGTTCAAAATCTTCTGGTGAGGAAGGAAGTGGAGCACAACATTGCAAAAGCCTGAGCTTACCATCTGGAAAGAAAGTATATGAGACTTTCTGTCAGACTAACAATCTGTATCAGTCAGAGATACCATTATAACAGCAGCAATACATGTTAAAACAGGCACAGATACAGAGGAAATGCATTCTGAATTCTAAAAATTATAAAACTTGTTAAAGCACATGTGGAATAAAGCTTCATTCCCTTTCCAGGATCAAAAGCATTTCCTTTTGTACATAATAGTTTATCTAGATATTGAAATCCTTTAGTGAGTTATTAATTACTACCAAAATACAGTTCTGGTTTTAATATTTTTCCACTCCCAACCAGTTCACACAAAATACTTGCTAAAGCGCCACAAAGAGGAAGATAGAATTTTTTTCAGAGTGAGCATCATGTTTTACTTCTCTGTGTATTTCTTTAACACGGAGAAATGAAAGTAGTATGATCTGACCTCTAATCTTTGTGTTACTTTTGTTCTGAGTTGCTCTTAGACAAAAGATTACTTGGGGGAGGGAGAGGATTATGGTGGGATGCATTTCCTCTGGTTTTGCATTAGACTTTTGTGAGTTGTCTTCCATGCCAGTTGAGGGAGAATTTGACAAACTATCCCTATATACCAATTCACTGAAAGAAAAAAAAAAAAGGCATCTTTTTTCCCTTTTTACAAACTCCTCAGGAATAGACAGAATTATTAACCTAATCAAAATCCCTTTTCCCATAGAGAAAATCAATAGTGGTAATGCTTGGGGGAGGGGGAGGAATTCTCTACTTGTAAACTATGGAACAAAGGAGTGTGAATATGAAGCCTATGAAGCTGATGGCAGCTGAGTACAAAACAAGCATGATATACAATGATGGATAATTTCTGCATTGAGCTTTGTTAGGCTTCTGATACTAATTTTGCTCCTTACAACAGGCCTCTGTACCATTATATAACCCAATTAAGTGTAAAATTGAGGCCTCAGAATATGGGAGGGGGGGTTAAGTTACTATGTTAAGACAATGTAAAATAGACATGTAAAACTTGGCATTCCCTCCCAAAGACACACTGCCCAGTTGTCTGTAACCTCCTCCCTTGATTCCTGATTGTTTCATCTTACCTGAAGAAGCACATGGTCATCATCAACTTCAGAATCCAGGTGGGTGAAATCCTGGCTTTCTTGTAGTCAGAGACCTGCTAATTTCTACAGCATCAGAAAATTGATAACAATGCAATTATTACAGTCATATATAGGATTAGTTTTGCTAAAGGAAAATGGTGAGATAAATTCTTTGGTTTCTTTTACATTTAAGGTGGTTTTACTGCATCCCTGTGGAAGCAAGAAATGACAGATGTCCCCAGGAAGCAGATCTCAGGCTCTAAGGCCACAGATGAGTTCTGTAGGACAAGGTTTACATGACTGCTATAGGCAAATTACACCACCATCTGCTCCAGTCTCCCATTAATCAGTGTAAAATGAAATAAAAAACCATCAAAATTATTTTAATATATTAATGTGATTTTATCAATACACAACATGGCAACTGTTTCAAAAGTAGATGACTGAAGTCATGTTCAACATTCAGACACTGGCATAATTTTTAGCATTCAGGTCTTTTACTAAGGTCAGGAGCAAGTGTACAGAAGTACTAATATTGTGCACCATTCAGGGGCCAAACAAAAATAAAATTACAAATCCTGACTCCATTTCCTACTATTTCTTCTAATAGGTGACAGAAAATAAAAAATTAAGCACCCACACCACTGTTAAGCAGCCTGAAATACCACTGTTTCTGAGGCATTCTTCTCTACACAGCACAGAAATTCTCAGCCCTTCAGTCACATCTGTTTGCATGGTTTACCTTTATTGAGATTTTATCTTCATAAGACATTCAGTTCTACAGATGGCAAAAGGAAAAGAAATTTGGACTCCTCCAGTGAATCTCAACTTCATTAAACAGATCAGCACATTTGCCATTTCCTGTTGAAAAATAAAATTGCCAAACAATGTCTCCTTTAAAATGAAAGTAAATAAATCCAGCTAGAAGACTACACTTTCTTTTTTCATAAGGGAAGAACTAAATATATAAACAGGAACAAGGCTCAGTGAGAGGGAAGGAAAGGAAGTTTTATGTTTTCTCATAGAGTTTTTCAGAATTAGGTGGCTGCTCTATTCCTGTAACAAGTTAATGACTGGAGAGAGCAGTGCCCCCACTCCTTTGCTTTCCTCAGTTTTATTTGCTTTCTCCTAATACCATTGCTGCTTTCTCCTGGTCCTCCTTTCTCTTCCCAAGCTATCCTGATACAGAGCAAAGGCAAACAAATGATGTACATTGAAGGAGAGCTCGACTGATTCAGTTCAGAGCTATTGTAAGGTACACAGTTATCCTAAAGACCCTCTTTAGCCATTACAGGGTGAAGAACCCTTACACTTTGATTCTCCCCCACTTCCTAGTCCCCAGCCTGCCCTCTTCCTTTTGTTAATCCTAATCCTGCTCCGTCTTTGTATTATCAATAGCTACTGATACAGCATTCCTGATGTCCAAGCAGGAGCTGCAATAAATGCAGTACAGAAATACAGCCCTCTTGGTACAAAGTCCTTTGTGTCCTCTGTGTGTGATTTGCCTCCCCGAGTACAGGTTCCCTGAGGAGCACAAAGCAATGCTGAATTACAAGTGCAGTCCTTTCCCCCTTCCCTTAGCCTTGCAACTTCAGCCATCCTTTGTGGTTTTCTGTTAGCCCTTGTCTCCCTTCATTGGTCCATCACCTTCTTGCCCTTTGATCTTCTGATACTGAAAGGGGATTTGGCTGTCATAACACATTCATTAAATATTTAGACAGCTGGGTCTGAACTAGCCACCTAATTACAGCCAATAATCTTATCCTAAGATGGACGTCTTAACTAGGTCAGATGAATCTCACCCTTGGAGTGCTTATTTCTCCCTGTTGATGTAAAGGGAGCTGAGGGTCACCTGCTCAGACTCAGGTGTTTATAACTTAAGTATCAAAAATACTCCCCAAATAATCCTATTTCAAATACTCTACTAAACCTTTTTACTGACCTTCTCTTTGACTCTGGTACTGCCTGTCTTTCTGTTTCATTAATACCCACTCTAACCTCAGCCATTTCCCTGGTACTACTTCTTTGCTACTTTTAAAAGCCAGGTCCTCTTCTGTACTCCATCCTCACTGGATTCAGCTCATTACACTCCAATTATACTCTCTCTTCTTCGTCTCCTCCATGGAGCCACTTCCATTCTTACTTGAGTTTCTCTCCATCAGTTGCCAAACAGGAGAAGGGCTCAGAGAATCATGCCACGCAATGTCAATCTTTACTTTAAAACTGCTAGTCCCATTGTTGCCTTGGTTAAATTCTTCCAGTAGTCATCTACTCTGACAATTAATACTAAGTTTATTTATTAATACTAAGTTTATTTAGTCTGAATTTATCCTGTTTTAACTTCTGGCCATGAATCCTGTAATATCCTAATACATCAAAACATCCTAATAACAACTTTCCAATCTCCCAGTAAGTACTCTCAAACCTCTTTTTGCTGATAAACTAACCAGATTGGATTGCTCACATTTTCCAGGCTCTGATTATTCTTTTAGCCCTCTGCAATTCATAAATGTTCTCCTTGAAACCCCTCTAGCTGTACCTGTCTACAGTTAATTTATTTATCTTTGAAAAACAGGCTGTAAAATAGACATGCTAATACTCTTCTTTCCAAAGCACTGTCATAGCCCGTGGCTGTGATATAATTTATTAATAAAATATTTATCACTGTAGCACAAACTAATGTTTAAGTTAGCAACTCTTCCACAGACATGGTAAACAATGCTAAAGAAAACTTTTCTAGTTGTTCTATTTTTCCTGAAAATTCCCATGCTGTAATTTAAATCTCTATAATGGCTCAATACCGGCAATCCATCATGCACTGCTAACTTCAAGAATACTTTTAGAATGCACTTTCACTACTCTGCTGCTCCTTACATTGCATCAGAATTAAATAAATTAGCATTGAGAGAAGATATTCTGTAACAAAAGATGTTTTATAAACAGTCACTAATCTTTATTTAACTGTAGTTTACATTTCAGAAGGATTTTTTTCATCAGAGAATTTTGGATTAAGCTCTTCTGCAAATACACTCAAGAAGGCAAAGGGCAGGGGAAGAAAAGAAGTTGGCAGGTAGAGAGAACCTTTTTAAAAACTAATGCTGTGGTTTTTAAATAGTTAACATATTAAGATAGCAAATATAACAAAAATGTCAGGAGAAACCCACCAACACATACCCCATGTATGAAGACTACAGGCTTCAGAATCAGTAGGACAAGAAATTTTCTGGCACCTCTGAAAATCTGTACATAATTTGGATTATGTAAGTATTGCTCCTCCCAAAAGATGGTTTGGGACTGACTAAAACCAAAAGTAGATGTTTCAGTACTCAGCACTTCCTCTTTATCATCTTCTTTTTGCCTTCAGCTCTTTGCATATGCTGCTGCACTGTTGCCCGTTGCCTTCAAAGACCTGCAACCTCCTTATCTCCGCTGGAGCAGGACCAGCAGTCAACAAGATTTAGGTGTATTTCCTTCCTCTGGTTGCCTTCCTCTGAAGTGCTCAACACTTGCTCTTTTTCAACCTCCTTTTCTGCATTCCCATTCCTGAATAAAAAGTCTGTATCACAAATAAATAATCCCACTCTTAGTTCTTAAGAGTATGTCTGCTTAGAAGCACCTCGATTTATGGGAGAACTAAATGTTGTTGTCAACAGTAAACTACTAGCCTGCATTTTAAGATAAATCTAAGAAACAACACGGGTATCTAATTCCTAAAACATAGGTATGTGTCAAAAGAAAGCCAAATGCAAGACTCTGAATTTGAATTATGTAAGGCAAGATATATAGCTGTCTATTCTTGGAGGGGGTGAGGGCAGAGAAAGAAGCTGAGAAAACTCCCAAGAATAGAAACAGAGTAGGAAGTCACAGAGCAAGCCTGGATAAGATCTGAATGCAATCCTAAGAGGAACCTGAAAAGTGTGGTAATAAAGGCCCCTAAAGCTGACCAAAAAAATCCCCTCTAAATATTGAGTTTGTCATCTAAATAATTACGACATGCATAGTCTCCATGAAAAACATAGCATATGATACAAAATTTAATAAAACTTATAAAAATATTATGGTTGTGAAGCATAAGGAATGTTGTGACAATCTTAAAAATGCCACAGTAAGCAAGATCATGAACTTGATGATCAAAGCTAAGTTATCAACAAAAATCTTGATATAAGAAAGATATTTACAGTGAGAACAATCATTAACTGGAGCAGCCTCCCAGGAAAGTGGTAGAGTCCACATCACTGGAGGTTCTCAAGATGCAGTTGGGCCAGGCACTAGATAATCTTACCTATGCTCCCTTTCCCATGAAAGGTTGGTCCAGATCTTTCAAGGTCCCTGCCAACCTTGGCTGTTGTATGGCTCTCAGTGGTGAGAGTCTCAATAATCACACCAGGTGAAACACTACTGAGTCATTCTCTTAAATCTGTTGTGGCCAAAAAGATACTAAGCGTTCTCTAAGACGGAAGCTCAGTCTCAGGTTTGCTCTACAGTTGCACTTTACTATAGTTTTCTTCCTGTCACCGCTTACTTTCCAACACTGCTGTATGGATTTAGCATTCAGCTTCTTTCTCTTTGCGCTCACCACTAAGGTTCTATAAGGTAAAAAGAGCAAATTGTGAGGTTTGCAAACACCAACTCTCCAAAATAAACCCAAACTGGTAGGCAATTCCCAAGGCCCTAAGATCTGATACATATTTGGGAATGTGAGGAATTGGAGTACACCTCCCACTGACGTGCCAGAATGTAAGGATTTATACCAACAGCTATCAGGATGCAGGGAGACACTTCCTACAGAAAGGAGCAGGCAGCAGGGACACCACCTGCCACACTTTTCTGGGCACTCCTCCTGTCCCACTCCCAGGAGCATCATCTGAGTGGGGCTCAGAGCTTGGCTGGAATGCACCTTTTTCCTAGGAAGCAGAGTGTAGTATATCCTCTAGATTAAACAAGTAGGCACCAAACTACCTCTCATCAATCTGTCCTCTAAACAGATGCAATAGGTCAAATGTCAATCACCTGCCTTGAATCAGAAGAATGAAAATGCAATTTATTTTTTCCTGCGTGGTTTATCTCAATCTGTGGAGCCAGTGCAGAAGGACAGAGGGAGGGTGCTGTGCTCACCCCTATGTCCCATTGTCTCCTCACCAGCCTTCAGGATGGCTTTTGCACAGAAACTGCACTTCTCTCAAACCATCTCAACAGCCCTGCAAGGAGACCTTGTGGGAAGGACTGCTGCACCCTCCCTCCCAGTGGTACTCAGGGGCCAGGGGTCTGGCCCTACAGAGTCAATACAGAAAGAACAGAGAGCAGCAGCACAGCAAAATAGCAATATACTTGATTGGTAGCTCTACGGTGTCCAATTAGATCAAGCAGAACTCAACAGCACCTTTTTTTTTTTTCCTTTTTAAGTCATTTGTTTTTCTCTCATCGCATCAGTAAACCACACACTGCTCATCAGACAGATCTGTTAGCCCATGGTGAGCTTCGTGTAGTAGGACCAGATATCTACTGAGACAAGAGCTACCTAGTTAGCAATAGAATGGTTTGCTGTTCTGTATATGACTGTAGTGCAAATTAACCTTTGATCAATGCGTAGAGACACCGGCACATGAAAAAGGTTGCTAATGTGGGTGAATTTTATAGCATGAGATGATGTACTAGGTGAAAATTGGCTATATTCAATTTAAAACAGCAAGTAAAGACATATGACTGCAGATAAGATGCATATAAATTCCAAACTAACTCAGGTATCACTGCTATTTCCTAAATCACTTTTTAATCTTGACATCCTTAAGCCTCACATCCTGAAATATGTTCTGCATCTTCAGGATTATTTTCAGTCCTCCGTTAATTCCTTCTGAAATTTCCAT